CAATTTCGTCTTGTTTTAATCAATTAATTTTATATCCACTGATCACTATACATGAACTCGCACATATTTTAAGTCAAATTTCAACAAAAACGAAGGTGTACAGGGTTTTGGATGGGGAATGATGAAGGGGTGGAGTGGGGTGGTAACAACTATCGTTGAGAGTAGATTCCTTCTTTATCCAGTGAAACAACGCTGAGTTATTATTATTATTATGCTTGAAGACTGTGTACAATTAAATACGTGAGAATCGCTGAACTATGTATGTACTATGTGTTAAAATAATGTCTGAAATAAATCTTTATTATGATTGATTGCGGTAGATTGGATAATGCGACACAGAAATCGGGTATTTAGAAGACAGGCATAAAATGAACCAACACAACAAAAAAAACCTGGATGATCTGGACTTCGCCGATGACATATTTGTGTCTGATTCCCCACAAACTGGAAGATATGCAAATGAAAAGCAACAACTAGGCAGAACAAGCATCCAGAGAAGATAGGACTTCCTTCAGGTGAACACAGAGAAAACAGATGTGGTGATGAAGATTCCTGACCAACACCAACAGCCACAGCAACAACAGACAACAATCAGTCAGCATAAATCGGAGAGATCTGAAAGAAACAACCCCATTTACTTACCCACCTACCTGGGAAGCATCGTTCCAACTACAGGCGGCCGGAACTGACTACGATATCAAAGAAGTGAGGATGGGAAAGCAAGACAAGCTTTCAATACTCAGCATGAAAATGAAAATAACATCCGGATTTTCAACTCCAATGTGAAGAAGTCAGTCAGTGCTACTACTACTCACTATACGGACGGATCAGAAACTTGACCAGCGCGTCATCAACAGCACCTCAAACAAACTAGACACCTTCATCAACAGCTAGTTGTCTTCACTCAATACCACTCAAGATCAGATAGCCGACCAGATAAGATCAGCAGTAGTGAGGGATCTCTGGCAATGAGTGAACCAACCAACACAGCAGGAACCGATTGTACAACAAATAGGCAGGAAGAAATGGAGGTGAATGTGAATTCGCCATACTCTGATAAAACATACAATCAAGTGAGTGACATCACTAGACAAGCCATTGCTCCAGTGGAACCCGAAAGGGAATCGGCGAGTTGGTCGTCAGTGTGATGATGGGGTGACTTGGAGGAGGGGGAGGTGATGCGTACAGGAGATGAAAGCATGTGGTCAGACTTGGAACCAGGTGAGAACTTTAGCAATAGAGACATGCAGCTGAAGCCCTATGTTCCTCTAGGAATTAAAGGAAATAATAATAATAGTCATATGATTGATTGGAGGGTGTCATCATGAGCTAATGTCAGTTAGAGAACCACTGGAAAACCTCCAGGGAGTACTGAACAGCTGTCTCCTCCGTCCTAGTTTGGGACTCTTCATCCCTCTATGCTAAAGTATGGTAATCCCCGTTCGTATTTTAGCTCTACCACTTTTTCATTTTTTCATTCTGTCTATTCAATTTGTAGTCTCTTCCTTATTACGTCAATTTTACTACTATTATTATTCTCACTTTGAACTGTCCCCGGTATTATTTCACTTGTTCCACTTGTCATTCTAAATCAATTCTTTTTTACAACGTTAAATTCTATGCTATTAAATTTCACACAATATCACGTAACGTTTTTATTTTATTCGATTTGTCTATTAATCCTAGAACTTCATACCCTTTTTCAAGTTCTATCCATCCTATGAATTATTCTATATATGGCATTAATTTCTTTTGCCACTTGACATTTAACTACGACTGTAATCACAAACATTTTAGTTTTAATTGAACTTCATATGATTATTATTATTATTTTATGCATTCACACCTTTGATTCAATTCCCTCACAGGATATAACTTCTTAAAAAACCATATATATATATACGATTGTACAGCTTGATGGTAAATTCGTTGTTGAAAAGAGTCTCTTCGCTGAATCACCACTTGTTTTGAACCATTGAAAACCAGCTGGGGGGGGGGTACTGGACAGCTGTTTCCTCCGTCCTACTTTGAGAATCATCGTCAGTACGCACCCACCCACCCACACACACCAGAGTTCGAACCCACGACCTTCCGGTTGGTTACAAGGCAAACTGGCTCGTATGCTATTCAGCCACTGGGACCCGACCCCATTCAATGGCCAGCCAGCCCATGAATTCTAACTTCTACCAATTAGTGATGCATTTAGCGCAACTGGCAACATCCAATGTCGTCGGTAAGATATCCATCCTTACATGTAACACATCTGGATGCACCTCACTGGTCAAGACTTCTCACCAAAACTTCTTCAGGCAACTCCATCCTGTAGCCAGTAGTGACTAGCGAGGATCAGATTAATTTTCTATAGTTGGTTTGTAAGGATTAGTTTTGTTTTTATTACTACTATTATTATTATTATTCTCTTAGATTCCGAGTGGAACTTGGGGTTCCAGCAACAACATATTATTATTATTATTATTTCATTCTATCTATTTTTACCTAGATAAGTGAAAGAGGTGAAGTCTTTCGGATTATTTTCGTTGATGATAGTTGCTGTCTATGTATGTTGTTGTTGATTACGCATCTTCGCCACCTACCTCTGTCTTCTCCATGTTCAGTTAAAGCTTTCCTCGGTGGGTCGCCTCTTTTCCCAACTTTCTGGTATTCCCCCGTAAGTATTCCAGTCTGCGTGATATTAGACATACTTTCATCGCACACCAGTCAGTCACTATTGTGATGTCTCTGGCTAGTCCTTTGTTTAGTGCGGACTGAATTCTAATCAGTCACGTTTGCAATGTGGCCACCACATTCTGGATGGCTCACTCTATCACAGTGCACATTGATTTGATGATATTAGGCGGTTGGAAGCAATCGGTAGGAAGCCTTGGATCTAGGTGGCACTCACTAGTAAGCATGGCGTATCTGCAATCACCTTGAAGGAACTCATGTCCCATCCCTGTGAGATTCGAATCCGTGTTACCCAGTGTCCAATGAAAGTATCCAATGCAGTCACAGTCCTACAGGAGGTCAATCACGAGCCCGAATAGCTAACTCCATTGGTAACATCTCTGAATGCAGCCAGAACTGGATGATGCAGGTTCGAATCTTACAGGGGTGGGACATGATTTCATTCACGGTGATTGCAGATACGCCATGCTGACACTGGTGTATGCCAACTAGCACGAAACCTACGGTCAAACAAGGCTTCCTGCAGCTGATTGCCTCCGACCATCTAACATCAATGAGATTAGACATAAACTATTTGCAAAGTCGTAATCTTCTAGAGTCTTATTGTCGGTCTTCTCGCTTACAGCCTGCTGCATAGTCCAGTCTACCACAAAGAGAAACATCATCGTTGATGATAAACAGCCTTGTCTTAACCTTCTGTCTTCATTTCAACCAGTAAGTAAACGCCATTTAGAAACTGATAAAAAAGGGTAACATACTATCTATACATATTGATTGACTGATTGCGTAACACATTCTGCAGTGATTGAGTCAGTAAAAAAAAGATATCTACTAAAAATAATCTAAATAAATAAACTGGAAATACTAATTAATATTGATATATGTGTAAAACCTGGGCACTGTATTAGTAAGTAATTTTATTATCAGTTTGTTTATTAGATGTATCACACAGTGAGTGAAACAGTATTACTCTTTACTGGATGACACAGTTTCGAACACAATCTATTATTGTTCATAATCATATCATCAATTATAATCACCCGACTTCGAAACTAGAGTTTCACAGTTTTCTTTGTCTTCTATTTGTCGTCGTAGTAGAATTTTCTAGATGTCCGGGTGGATAGGTGTTGAATCATTCCTATTACATGTATTTGCAGATGATTCGATAAACAAGGCATCCGTCGTTATCAATCTCTCCCTCCACCCTGTGACATTAGATTTTAAAACTGTCATCCTATCCCATCATCCTATTGTATGGTTGTGTGTAATTGCATGTAATGAGTGGTATATACGGCTGAACTATTCTCTAGATTTCTTATCTAGATTTTCCTAGGACTTTATGCTCAGCTTGTCTGACTGACTACCCCTGTTCTACTAGTTTGACCTATTGTATTTGACCTCACTGACAAGCATTGCTGGCAGGGTATTAGATCAACTATATTGTTTTGTTGTAAAGGCTCCACAGGATTGATCCTTCAACCGACAAAGCTTGTTTCTAATTGAGTTTGTGGGTGGTTTGAATACCAGCCGCTTTTATTCTTGCCTTGTTAAGAATTCTCCAGCCTAAGGCTTCCGAGGTTCCTTCCTTGTATGGAATTACTACTGATGATTTACATTCCTCCTTATTGTTGGTGTTGTCTTGCACATATTTGCCATGCATGTCGTCATTAATATTATTATTATTATCGTTATCACTTGTATCATTATTTAGTTAATCTAATAGCCTACCAGCAATGATTAGCAGGTCAAATACATGGGTCAAACTAGTAGAACAGGGGCAGTCAGTCAGACTAGCTGAGCATAAAAACCTAGCAGCAAAATCTAGATGGGTTGACCCAAATAAGATAAGAAATCTAGAGAATAGTTCAGCCGTAGATAGCACTCACTACACGCAGTTACACACAACCATACAATAGGATGATGGGATAGGATGACAGTTTTAAAATCTAATGTCACAGGGTGGAGGGAGAGATTGATAACGACGGAAGCCTTGTTCATCGAATCATCTGCAAATACATGTAATAGGAATGATTCAACACCTATCCACCCGGACATCTGGAAAATTCTACTACGACTACGACGACAAATAGAGAGACAAAGAAACTATAAGATTCAAGTTTCGAAGTCGGGTGATTATAATTGATGATATGATTATGAACAATAATAGATTGTTTTCGAAACTGTGTCATCCAGTAAAGAGTAATACTGTTTCACTCACTGTGTGATACATCTAATAAACAAACTAATATAAATTATTAATATGAATTTATTATTATGAACAGAAAAGACGACGAATATGAAGAAGACAAACTCACGTTCATGTCGTTCAAAACCATCCCAAAATGATTTTAAACAATAACGTGTTATTTCAGCACCAGTAGCACAATCAACTAGAGTAGTTTTTAATTCACCGAAATCATCAGAAAAACTTTGTGGTGTCCATAACTCTTGATTAAATTTACGTTGACAACCAGAGATAACAAGTGGATGATTATGTCGCCATTCAGACTATCAAAACAAAAAGAAAGAAAGAAAAAAACAGAAAACGAAGGATGAAAGCAAGGAAGTCAAAAACATAAGAAAAAATATATATATATATATATAAAGACATCTTTTCCTAACAAATACATTAGTTAGAGAACCACTGGAAAACCTTCAGGGAGTACTGGACATCTGTTACGTCATAGTTCGGGACTCTTAATCAGTACACACCCACCACAGGGGGCTCGAACCCAGGACCTTCTGGTTACAAGGCTAGCGAGCTCGTCGATCATTGAGCCACTGGGAGCCTTTCCAATGGCCAGTCCATGAATTCCAACTTCTGCCAATTCACGACATAGCGCGACCATTTCGCAATGTCTTCGTCGATGAGTTACTGCCTCAGATTCGACCCAGTGAGTGCGTACTGCTGTAGAGTCACAAATGAGGATGAAACAGCCATCCAGTACTCCCAGGTGGTTTCCCAGTGGTTCTCTAACTGATGTCAGCGCTCATGATGAAATTCTCCATACAATCAAACAAAATCCTTACAAAATCAATACTTGAAAATATATATGTATACGAAAGATACTCTAGTGAAGGGAATTAACACGAAAAGTGAAATCAGTTCAGGTGTTTATGTTGACAAACTGTCTCTAAGTAAAATTGAGCATTTTGTACACCTGTAACGACAGAAGGCAAGGGTCAGGCAATAGATCATTTATTGAGAAAATCAACAGATATTTATAGATTTTTATGTACATTTTTGTCAGCGGAGCAGTAACGTCTTCTTCAGAAACTGTATTGGGGTGCATGTGTAAGGCGAGATGATGATACAATTGGTGGATGGTGACTAGCAATGGAATCCAGGATAAGGCGCATTTCGTCCTATTTGGGACTCGTCAGCTGGATGTACCTGCATTTCTCAGTGAGTGATGATGTTCCGACCGAGGCTCGAACCCAGTACCCATAGTTTCGAACGCCAAAGCGTTATCCACTAGACCACTTGGGCCACGAGAGCCACCTCTTATGCAACTGGTCATATTAATTATTGAATTGGATTTTTTGATTTTCCCGTCGATTGATTGGACCGAAGTGCTCGGTCTCAGGTTGACATGTCTGTTGGCTTCTTGTGCAGATGCTTCGACGATGTCTGGGCATTAAGGTAGGATACAAATAGGACGAAATGCGCATCCTGGATTCCACTGCTAGTCACCATCCACCAATTGTATCCTAGCTAAATGCCCAGACATCGTCGAAGCATCTGCACAAGAAGCCAACAGACATGTCAACCTGAGACCGAGCACTTCGGTCCAATCAATCGACGGGAAAATCAAAAAATCCAATTCAATGAGTTGATGATAGTCCATTAGTTAACATCAATCAATCAAATGTGTATAGGGTGTATAGTCAGTCAGGAAAAATGTGATGAAGTATGAATGAACAATTGAGTGATATAGTGTTGTTTTTTTACAGTCAACAGAATACAAGTGTCGTCACTGGGGTGACAGAAATGCGATAACCACAAAATACATACAAATACACACATTAATAAAGGGGACACTGAATGTGAGGCCTGACCAATAATGTCTAATGATAAAATAAAGAGGCTAAATCGTAAGTTGTAGGCTTAGTATAAAATCATAAAAGTTGATAAAAATTAAGGGTATAACAATGACGTGAAATCAACTGGGTGGAGAAATGGATAATAAAGACATGATATCTCACAAAATGATAATAATAGTACGAAAAATTATGATCCTGGTGACCTTATAGTGGGCCAGGTAGACAAAGAGAGTGAATAGGTTTTTTCTCTACACGTAGGTCTGGTGTCTCTCTACTAATCTCTAAAGCCTCAGTTATATGGATAGGAGGCGTAATCGTATGCCTTTGGGGAGATTGTTCAGTACTCGATAGACAATTGTCAATGACTCATCTAATTTGATGCAGTGTTTGCTTTCCACTAGATGAGATAGAACTGCACTATTTAATGATTTGGTTGCTCTTTTCCCAAGCCAAACAGGAATATGTTCACGAGTGCGTAAATATAAATTCCTCACCCCAATGACACTTGTATTCTGTTGACTATAAAATAACACTATATCACCTAATTGTTCATTCACACTTCATCACATTTTTCCTGACTGACTATACACCCTATACACATTTAATTGACTATGTTAACTAATGGACTATCACCTCAAATTACACATGCACCCCAATACAGTTTCTGATATTATTTTCATTTGCCTTTATTGGTTATATGTACTGAAGCTGAGAAGGCAGTAGGCAAAAGGGATCTGAGGACATTATATCAGATAACAAAGTCTCTATCCGGGAAGAGATCAACACAAGTGAAACCTATAAAAGACAGCCAAGGGAATCTAATTACCAAGAAAGATAGACAGATTAAACAATGGGTGGATCACTTCAAAGAACTCTTGAACCGACCACCACCTGCAACCCGTCCAAAAATACCAACAACAGCACGTACAGAACTGCAATTTGACACCAATCCTCTATTATTCATGGATTTATAACTGTAGAACCTGAAAAAGGAGTTATCGAAACCATAATTCAAGTGTTTGTTTGTAGAGATTTGATTGGTTTGCAGGATTTCATCATGAGCCGACATTAGTCAGAGAACCAATAGAAAACCTGGGAGTACTGGACAGGTCCTAGGTTCAAATCCCGGTGGGTGCGTACTGTGCTGAAAAGTCCCAAACTAGACTGACGAAACAGCTGTCCAGTACTTTTGGAAGATTTTCCAATGGTTCTCTGACTAATGTCAGCTCATGATGAAATCCTAGAAACCACAATTGTTCGCTCAAAATCTTTCATTTGATTTCAATAATAACTCATGTCAATTTTTACGGCTATTTAGTGCAAACAGCTGAAGAAAAGCCGTGAAATATGGATTCATCTATGCATATATATATATGTTTACTCAAGTTATATTGAAAATGAAATCCCTCCTTTAATCTCCTGTCTCCCTGTCCCCCACTCAAGGCTAACTTGATGATGATAGATTCGAGAAGTAAAAACCCTGTGGATACATATATATATATTTTTTCTAATGTCTGATTTCGGAATTAAGGATTACATGCGTACTGTAAATCGGTAGGTGTGTGTGTGTGTGTGCATATGTGAATAGTCGTCAGTGTTATTTGTTAGCTGGTTGGATTAGTCTGTTTGTATGTATGTAATTTTTGCCAGGGCAGAGCTGAACGGAGCAGAGCAGGGCAGGGCAGGGAGAACCAAATATCAGGAATGATAAATCGTATCACATAGAGGACAAGTATTTTCTCTAACACATATTTTCGCCTAGTTATTTATGCATGACTAGAGGAATAAGAAATGAAACAAAACAAAACAGAACACAACCAAAACAACAACTGTTCTCTGATGAAAATGTGAACAAGGCAAAACTTGTACAAAAACCAGAAAACAAAAAAGAGAAAACCTTATCGATTTTAATCAATAAATATGTTATTTTGTTATTTTTTTAAAAGGTTAAAAAAAATTTTCGCTTTAAATTATTCATATATATGTGTGTGTGAATGAGTTGTAAAAGGCTTTTGTGTAAATCTATTTTAAAATATTTCGCCTAATTTTCTTACAAACAGTGACTTGAACATTTTAAACATCATCTGTCCGTTTATCCTGTCTGTTGTCGACATAGAACTTTCCACCGATGTGTAGCAGTTCAAGTCGACACACTCCCTCCTCCTTGTAGCGTACAAATCAAGACAAGAAAGTAGAAGAAATGCATAATAGAGACAATATAAACAGAGGAGTGAGACAAAGGAATAGTAATAGTAACGAAGAACAATATAGTTTCATTGGAAATCATAAGTCACAAGGAGTGGATGCATCTGCGCTAGCCAGCCATTGAAAACCATCACTTTGAGCCATATCACCAATTGCCTCAAGCCTATCATTGATGTTTACCGTCCCGAGGACCCCAACCAGCCAACCAGGAAGTCTACACCTTCCTACATGACTGGCTGTCTGGCTTAAACTAACTGTTGTGGATTTCATTGACTGGTGAAGCCATGTTTTGGTTTGAGCGCCGCTACCTAGCTAGCTCTTTTCCAGCCTGACCCTATGTCAGCCAGCTAACATTGCCCATTGTCGAGGAAGGCGATGGATGACTAGACATGCATACGTAACACATGTCCTAACCACCTCAGTCGATGTAACTGCTTCACAGCCTCGTCGATTGATTGATTTCCCCTCCCACCTACCTACCTATCACTCGACCCACGCCTAACCCCAATATTCCTCAACCTATTACACCTAACACTTCACACGGGAGATAGAACACAAGCACCTATGATCAAAGACAGCTAGCCAGCCAGCCACCCTTTTCATGTCTTCCACTCTCAATGGCCAGGTCTCGCTCACAGCTGGCCATAAAGGAGGACGGAGCGGACTGATGAGCAGTACACCCACCCTTTGGTCGATGGCCAACGGGATTTCACGTCTACCAAGCCAGAGACGGCGTAAACTGGCATATCCGAAACAAGCCCTCTGTATGTATCCGTACCTAGTTGAGATTTCGTCAGAGATCAACCCGTTGGGACTGGCTGATGGTACTTACCAAATAAGTGAAGTGGCCAATGTGCTCTACCACTTCACCCCTTATTTCTAAGCTAGGAGTCAGTGTAGTCCAGTCAGTCCTGTAGCCTCATCATCTTACATTTGACAGCAGGAGCGAATCGCATGCCAAACATTAGAAGATTGCTTTGTAATCAAGGTGTGTTTAAAAGACTCAGCTTTATTTTGTCAGCGTCTTCACCGAGAAGCATATTCACAAAGTAAACAAAATTATTCCCTGGCATCAACTACTCTCCTTTATGAAGAAGGATATGACTGAATGAATCAGCAACGGTTATATTTCACTACGTAAACTTGCTAACATGAAACAAATCCTCTCTATTCAAAGAAAATAAGTATGAGTTTTTTTTCTCTTTTAAAACCGTATTGATTAATCGATCAATCAATGAACCAATCACATCGTGTTGTAC